ATTTTTGATTTAGTGGATCTATTTGTGATAGTGGTGTATTGAAGTCCTCCACTATAATTCTGTTAATGTTTATCTGATCTTTTATGCTCCTTTGTGTTTGATGACATCAGATGCACCATGGATTGGTGCATATATGTTTATAACTGTTATCTCTTCCTGTTGTATAGTTCCATTAACCAATGTGTGTTGTCCTTCTTTGCTTTTTTCTGATCGGCTTTGGCTTAAGGTCCATTTTATCTGAGAGTAATACAGCTACTCCTGCTTGTTTTTAGGTTCCTGTTGCATGGAATATCATTGTCCATCTTTTAGTCTATGAATTTCTTTTTGTGTTGTGTTTCTTGTGTACAGCATACCATTGGATTTTGTTTCAGGATCCATTCTGCTAACTTGTGTCTTTTGATGAATTGAGTCCATTCACATTGATAGTTATAAATGATCAGTATTGTCTTATTCCTGTCATTGCATTATTTACTTGCTGGTTACTTTCTTTCCCTTCTACTTAATTTCTAGCCCTATCTGATGCATTCCTTCTTTCAGACATTTTGGCATCGTTACCTTTGTCTCTTTTTAGGATGTCCTTGAGAATGTTTTGGAGTGTTGATTTGATGGTCATGAATTTCTTTAAGTGCTCCTTCTCATGGAAATATCTTATTTCTCCACCAATTTTGAAAGGTAATTTTGTAGAATGTATCAGTCTGAATTGGATACTGTTTTATTTTAAGGCTTGAAACACTTCATTCCAACTTCTCCTTGCCTTTAAGGATTATGTTGAGAAGTCTGTTGTAATTCTTTTTGTTTTGTTTGTTTTTTGTCTGTCTGAGACAGGGTCTCACTATGCAGTTCAGGCTGATCTTCAGCTCACTTTGTAGTCCAGGCTGGCCTCAAACTTGCAATGATCCTGCTGCCTCAGCCTCCCGAGTGCTGGGATTACAGGCGTGCGCCACCACACCCGGCTCCTAGTCTGTTGTAATTCTGAGGGTCTTCCTTTGTAGGTGATTCATTGTTTTCTCTGTCTTCAAGATTTTTGTTATTGTTGTTGTTGGGTGTCTGTGTTTTAATTATTGTGTGGAGTGATGTTTTTCTGATCATGGCTATTCACAGTTCTATGTACCTCACTTAATGAATGTTAAATTCTTTTTTTCACATCAGGAAAATTTTCTGCTATTACTTCTGCTAACAAGTTTTAAAAAAATCCCCCTTTTCTATTTTCTGATCTTTCATTAATTCCAATTATTCATATTATTCTTCTTTGAGTTACCTAGCAGCTGTTGGATCAATTTTTTGTGTTCTCTTGTTGTTTTTAAGGTATCTTTCATTAATTGATCACTAACTACAGCTTTGTCTTTTAGATCTGACCCTCTGTTCTCACTTTGGTCTCTTCTACTGCTCTTACTTTCAATCATATTTTTAATCTCCAGAATTTCTGTTAGGAACTTTTCTTTATGGACTCCCATTCTTTTGTATGCTTGGTATACATTTCTCTCTGTCTGTCTGTCTGTCTGTCTCTCTCTCTCTGTCTCACTCTCTCCTTTTTCTCTTACCTCCACTGGATTTTTATTAGTGTCTTCACTAGACTTGGTGTTCATTTGTTTCTGGGTCATTATCTGTTTAGTTATATCTTCCTTAGGTTTTCTAAGCACCTTATTGAGCTATTCCATAACTCCTACTGATACCCTTTCAGACACCTCTGCAGTGTAGCTGTGATTTCCTCCCCAGTGCTCTTGCACTGGCTTTGAGGGAGTTGGGTGGTGTTGTAGGTATTTGTTGCCTTGTTTGCTCATGTTTCTATTTTTTGTTTGTTTTCTGTGTTGAGGTTTGCAGCTTCTTTGGACCGGTGCCCAGTACTTTGGGAATGTATTGTTTATTACCCTCAGAAAATGCAGACATTGCCATACCACAAAAACCAATTGACCACACTGAGTCACCTTGGCTAGAGTAGTAAAGTCAAGGGTAACAATGGCATCAAATATAAACTGGATAATGACAAACCCTAAGAACTACTCACGAACCTCCCTTAATTAGAGCAAAGAAGGCTCTGATTTTAATGTTGACACTTAGGCGACTCAGATAGTGACCTGTAGTAAGTCAGACCACTAGTCTCTGCTGGATGTACGTTGTGGTGCAAAAGTTCGAGCACACCACTGGATTAAATTCCATCTCCTTCAGATCAGCTCCTTCTGTACCCGCCAAACCTGGCCTCCCATCACAGAATACAAGCGCTGTGCCTCTCCAAGCCTGTCTGTCAAGGCTGTCCCTGACCCAGTCTCTGCAGCAGGGTAACACTTCAGTCCCAGAGGGAAACTCCTCCTGGGTGTTGGTCTCATCTTCAATAAAGTCAGTCTCGTCACCTTTGGCACTCTGTGCCGCTAGACACTGGTGTTGGCAGTGGGGGGTGTCTTGCTGTTTCACTGTATCTGTGTTGAGATATGAGCATCTGCTGTGATTTCTACTCGCCTTTTATACGGGTGTCTCCTTAGAGGACAGGCTTGGATGGATGATGTGCCTTGGGTGTCTGCTGTATAGTGCTGAGCTTAGTTCTAAGTGCATTGCATGATATCTTTGCCCTTTTCTCTTATTCGTGTGGTGAATTCCACTTAGAATTAAACTACCTCTGTTCACAGCAGGTGGGTTCCCAGGTCACTGGTCAGAGTGAAGGCAATGGACAATGGTGACAACTCCCACATAAACTGTGCCTAAACTCACAAACTTAATTCACTCCATGGTTCTGGGGAAGATGGCCACCTTTGTGTGCTCACTGTGTATTTTTTTCTGTGGCTTCTTCGTTGTTCATGTGGGGAACACGGCCAAAGTCCTACTGATCACCTGACATGAAGTTTGCAAGTGGAAGCAAAATTTTGCTAAATGCGTCTGTTTGTGAATGAAATTGTTTGCAAACAGAAGCATTTGTGAACAGAAGTAACCCCCCATAAATAAACCTCATGCAAAAACATAGCAGAATCAAATAAAAACCTCATAACCATAATATCCATAACCACAGGAGGAGGAAAGGACAAAGATATTATGCAACACACTAAAAAGTTAAAGATTAATAAAACAAAGCCTAACAAAATAAATAAAAATGAAAGTGGAAGTGATATAAAAAAAGACAAAGAAACAAAAGAAAGAAGAAAGAGGTAAAAATGCAGGAGAAAGATTGGAAGAGAAGAATAGTGTGATAAAAATCCAGCTAAATCAGAGGAAAAGAAAAAAATAGAACAATAAAATAAAAAGTGTAGGTAAAAATACTAAGAAATTTAAAAAGAGTAATAGAAAGAAAATAAGAAAACATATGGATATTTAAAAAGGATAGAGGTAAAGGGGTGAGAAGAAAAATGGAACAAAAACAAAAATCAGAAACCAAAACTAAAGGCTAGTCAGAAATTTTTTCTGGCCAAGGAATTTGGTTTAGAGAAGCAGAATCTTCCAGGTATGGTGTAGATAAGAAGTAGCTACAATCTGCTTCCACTCAGTCTGTGTAAAACTGATCAGAGCAGTTGACCAGCTATGCTACGATGCTTCTCCCTGGGAAACCTGGGAGAGTGGTGGTGGCCCTTGGGATACAGCTCCTAGGAGGGACTTTTCTGTGTGCACCCAGAAATGTGGCAATATTGAGTGGCACCCGGGTGCTGTCTTCAGTCCAGCATCTGGAGCACGAGAGATGGCGCGTCTCTGCTGTCTGGGTTCCCAGCCAGGGGCAAATGGTGGTGCATCCGCCAGAAGCCCTTCTCGCTGGCCTGGGCTTGACCGCCTCTGCACCCACAGAGCAAGCATTTGGCCTCCTTTGTTTTTCTGGTTTGCGCAGTTTAAGCTGCAGGGCCCGACTGAGCGCCTGTACCTTGGTGGCTTATGGGCTGCCCCAGTTGGGTGTGTACTCAGCATGGTGGAGTGCACCTGGGGAGCATGACAGTGGCTAAGCTACAGCATAGCAGGGAGCCCCTGAGGTGCTTCAGAGGGTGTGCGGAGCAGTGGAGCCACTTGTTTCTGTGCTGAAGTGGCCACAGGGACAGAACGTGCTGTCATCAAGCCTCCGGAAACACACACTTTTCTCAAGCACACTGCTTTTGTTTGGAGTTACCAAGGGCAAGACGGCCTACACTTTAATACCCCTCAGTCTCACAGCTCCTGTTCCCCACTGTGCAAACTCCCTGGCAGCTAGTTCCACTCTCACCCCAGCGAAGACTGTCTCATGTGGCCCGCTCCCCTCCAGTCAGGGTAGCAAGGTGTCCACAGGACCTCTGATTGTGATTGGTCTGAGTTTCTCCAACCCTAAGGGAGGTTAGTCCCTAATAATAGGATGTATCTCAAGATGGCTCTGAAGTTTGCTGAGTGACACCATGGTTTTCTTCTCCAGTGTCAGGATGTTGGGTGTGTGCAGCCGCTTTCAAATCCCCTAGCAGGAGTGATAGCTCATGTGGGTAGTGGTTCTCAGTGATAGAACTACTGGCCACTTGTAATGTGGGGGCTTGCAGTGGCTCTTACCTTCTCCTTGCAGGGTCAGACTCCCGTTAGGGAGTCTGGATTGCAGCTATGAGTTACCCTTCTCTGCTTTGCTTCTCCAAATTTTCCGTTGTTCAGATTTCCTTTTGCTTCTCTGTTGGCTCACAGAACTCTCCCTCACTTTTACTGAATGAGAAGTAGTTTCCCCTTTGTTGGCTGACTCTTAACTTGCAGAATGACACGAGGGTTTCCATTCTGCCTTCCCTCCCATTCTCAGTATGCGTCTTTCTCCAACTTGGAGCACTATGATTTTAGAGTTGGGAGAAGTATTACTGTTCACCTTGTCTGGAGCCTGATTTTGCTGAAGGTGAGTTAGAGGAAACAATACGTAGAAGTGGGAAGAGCTGGGGTTATTAGCAGTTCTGACTATAGTGTCCCACATCTGCCTATATGAGGTACAAGCAATACAATAAAGGAAGCCTCCACCAAACCTGTCAATAACAAGGGAATTGGCAGAATAGTTAGCTTTTTGTTTAAAGTATTCTCTGATATGAGGAAATACATACTTTTGAGAAACATTTTTATGATGTCATCATCACAGTGCTGCCAAGATTTCTTCCTGGCTTCTTCAGCAGGTTTCCAAGGAATGTCACAGACTGCACAAATCAAAGGTTCACCTTAGTTCCTGGCTCTTTCCACATGCCTAAAAGCTGCTTCCCACTAAGTTTTAATTTGCAGAGGGCTTCTTTTGACAGTGCTGCTGATCTCTCCTCGTCTGTGTGCTGCTTTGGTCTGGCAGTCGGTTTGTCTTTGATTGTTCAGTAAGGACGTCTTCCTTTCCCAGCATCACTTCCTCTCATGTCTTTACTGAAATTTAAATATATTTCTCCCAATGATAGGGGGATGATCTTCATTCTCTAATAAAAACATATTAAATCCAAATGACCCATTCAGCCACTTTCTACAAAAGAGAGAAAAGAGTTTCTAGACCAAAAATTATTATGACGCATAACATGTCAAGTGTGTCAGAAATACAATTAAATTGCATGTTATTTACTGGCTTCGTCATTATATCTGCATGAGTGAAGCCTGGTCACTCAGTTGTTTGTAACTGCATTTAATGTGTAAATCGCCATGCCAAAATCTTACTTCCGTGCTTCAGTTTCTATAAAATGCCTAAAAGTGCAGAGGAAGAAAAGGATTATGAAGCCTGCACATAGGATTACAGGATTATTTGTGGCACGAATCTGGATTTCTCATTCTTCTGACTTCAAAGCCTCATATAGATAGCACAACAATGTTGCTCTTAATCATCCTCTCTGAGACCGCTGGGGATTTGTCTTCTAGCTTAGTGCTTGTGCTAATTATCGCAAATCTGTGAAAATATAAATAATCATTATTGTTGTTTCTCAAACATTTGGAAAATGTCATATGAAATCAGAAAAAAGGGGCCAAAGCAGCAAACTCTGATGGCTGTGGTGTGACAGAGCTGGTATGACAGGCCTTGCCATTAGCCCGATTTTCTTTGCGTACAGATAAAGGTCTAGAGAAATGCGGCCATATTACTCTTGATGTTCACTGACCAAAGACCACCTTCTCCCTTCTCTGTGAAGTCTTGATAAGGAGAGCAAAAGAGGGCAAAGATCATGCTTCACTGCCTCATTCCAGCCGCGCCCAGCATGGCCTACAGGCAGTTATGCAAGGTCACACCACAGCTAGCCACGTACCTGCGCTGTGCACTGTCGGAGACTCGCCTGGGCTGGGAGAGGAAGTGCTTCACCTTGGACAGGACTGTTGAGCCAGAAAAAGATTTCTGTAGGGCCAGGAGAATGCACAGGAGCCAGGGCTGCTCCCAGCTCACAGAGCTTCACAGTCCTCACTCCTGTTAGTTTCCACTTCCAGCTCTTCTAGGTGAACATGAGCACAGTGATGGGAACCTGCTGAAAGCTACAGAATTTCAGTAGCACTGAGGGGCGAGGAGGCAGGCAGGGCAGGACTTTCCAGCCTCCGGCAGGAGAGAAAGAGGCTCTCATGGACACCTTTACTCTCCAGTAAACTTAGGGTCATAGGTTTTCTCTTTGTGGCTATGAATTAGGGACCATCCATGCTCAACTTCCAGTTTCCAACTGTCTGAAAAATGGACCTACTGGTCTCTTACTGTCCTTGGAAACTAAGTAGGGGATCTAAAGTCTGAGCCCCTGCAGTCCTCTCGACTCTGTGGATGTATGGAGCTCAAGGAAGTGGCAGGGAAGGGAAGGTCTGGTTCTGGAGTGCTGACTCCCCTTTTACTTTTGCCAGCCTCTAAAGTATGTTTTATGCATTTTTTCTTTGGAAAGATTAAAATATTTTACAAATACTGTGGCATATTGGAGCAGGAGCAAAGGAGCTAGAATGGGGGAGGCGTGTGGTGCCATCGTCAACCTCCCTCCAGGGCCCTCGCCGCCTTTGAGAAGCCAAAGAAGGCACACAGTAACAACTGAAGCTAACCGCTAGCTTTCTGTAAGCCGCGTGGGATTTCCAAACTATATAACACAAGCAGCACACAGAGGGAGCACTTAGCTGTTAGAAGAACAAACATTTAGGAAGAATAAACATCCTCTGTTATGAGGCACAGACCATGTTGTTCAGAGAATGAGTTAGCGTATATTCTAATTGATTTTCTCAAATTGTTTGGGAATAGTTCTTTGATAGAAACTCTCTTCAGAGAGTATGCAGAAAAGACCTTCCCAGCAGCCTCAGCGAAATGTGTTCATAGAGATGAAGCCTAGAGCAACGAGCAGTGCAGTCTGACAAGATGAAGGACCGTTTTTATTCACCTAACTAGGAAGAACAGGAGTGGGAATTTGGGGGCCAAGGGCGGCAGGGAGGTGGGGAAAAGGCCGGTGGTGAGGTGAAAACCACGGTATGGAATTAGGGTAGAATAAAAGAGGGTAAAATGAACGGGCAGAAGGGAAACAGATTCTCCAAGCACAGTCTGTAAGATCAGGCCAAAGAAACTGAGGAAGTGCCAGAGAAAACACTCGGAGAACCTTCCATCTGTGACCCTTCCAGAAAAAGAGATTAGCCCCTATTTTTTAATCAGCCACCGGCGTTCTATGCACGTAATGAGTGAGCTTTTCTTTTAACCGTGTCTGTTTGTTTTAAAAATTTAACAATTATACAGACAAACTTTTATCTTATACTGTATTTGAAAAAATTCAAGCTTTTGAGTCTCCCTTTGTTTATGTGAATTTTTACATATTCATTTTTATTTAAAATTTATTTTTAGGGCATGCTAGTTACACAGAGTAGTGGGTTTCACTTTGGAATATCTGGGTCTTCATCTAAGACAAGTAAGTTATGTTTACCCCCATTATCTCCATGTCTTAATTACTTTCTCGTTGCTGGGACAAAATACCCGACACTGGAGAGTTAAAGGAGGAAAGGTTTCTTTTGGCTCATGGCTGGTAGAGGTTTCAGTCCACGGTTGGTGGATTCTGAGGCAGTGAGGTGTGGCAGAGGGGCGTGGTGGGGAAGAGACAGTCCATGGCAGGCAGGAAGCAGTGAGAGGAATCATGGGAGTAGAAGGATATAAAGCTTCAGGCAACACCACCAGTGAGCCATCTCTTCCCACCAGGCTTTATGTCCCAACAGCACACCCAGCTATAAACTCATCATGGCCTAATCCAGTATTATCACACACACACACATGCTACAATAATCTCCCAGAGCCTCACCCATGAGCACATAGGCTTTGGGGGACAGCTACGTATAAGCTGTAACCCACCCTCCCCTTCCTTGATCCCCTTCCCCTTCTCTAATAGTCTCCTTTCTACTTTGCTGTCAACTTTTTTATTTTTAAATTTTTGTTTTCAATTCCACACATGAAATATAACATTTGACTTTCTAAATCTATTTTATTTTGCCTAATGTGATCTCCATCTAGTTTTCTTCAAATGACAGAATTTTTTTCATCTTTATGGCTGAGTGATGTTCCATGGTGTATCTATACCACATTTTCCTTATCCATTTTGTCTGTTGATTGTCACCTATGCTGATTCTATAACTTAGTCATTGTGACTTGTAGAGCAATAAGCGTAATTCTGTCAGAGCTGTCCTGAGGAGTGGTGAGTCTGGATCAACTGGTTGCTCTCTTTTTAGCTTTTGGGTGAGCCTCTATATTGATTTCCATAGTGGCTGTATTAATACAAATTTCTACAAAGGTGCAGAAAGATTTGTCTTTCCCTACATCTTTGTCAGCAGTTATTGTTTTTTATATTCTTGATGAAATCCTTTTGGACTAAGATGTGATGGAATCTCAGTGTAGTTTTGATTTACTTTTCTCCAGTGGCTAAAGATGTTGAATATTTTTTCATAGACTTATTAGTAGGGCCTTACTCTAAAATGCAAACACAAATTACCTAAACATACCTAAACATAAATTATCTAAAAATACCAGGTACCAAAAAAAATCTCCCGACTGAATGACCAAGACTTACAGTGAGCCAAAATCAGAATGTAAGAGGACTGCAGGACACAGAGTGTTTCCCACTTTAATCAACAGTTGTGATCCATGGATGTGAAACTTTTGAAAATTGAAAATGATTTTCTCTAATGTAAAAGTTCAATAAAGGGTGTGGAAAATGACTTTTGGGGAATATTAAGAAAGAAAACTGAAAGACAAAATGATGAGCAATTGGAGAGTAGAGATTGTGATCACTGAGTCCAAGAAAACTAAAAGCCAAAACACGACCTCCAGAAAGATAGAACAATCTGGAAAGTAAATCATTTTAAGCAGTTATCAGTTGTACTGCTTACAGTTGAAAGGTTGTGCTTTGTAATCAAAAAGGCCTGTGGGTGTCATGATCAGAAAATGGACACATTCATAGCAATGCACATGAACATGACATTTCACATTACCAGGGATTGAAAGGAAATACACAGAAGTGACAAGGCAGAGGAGCACATGCACAAAGTGTGGGGTGATGGCAAACTCACTGGTCTTCTCGCCAGCAGGACAGGAAGCTACGTGACAGTGAGCCCTTTCCATATTTCACAAAAATGAACCCTAACCTGCTAAACCCTTCATCAAGAATGAGAAAAGAATAAAAATAGCTTTAGAAAAGCAATGTTTTAGGAAGCTAGTGTGTATTCTAACCAAAGCTATGGAGAAAAAAAGATGCCACTGTAAATGAAAACCCTGGATCCAGAAACTTAGTGTCCAAGATAGGCAAGCAGAAAATCAAAGTCCCTGCATGACAGCTGTGAAGCAGGGTTAGTGGAGTAGCAGTGTGGGCAGGATGACTCCCAGGTAAAATATAAATGGTTGTTCAATTGTCCTGCCCATGTATTAAATGCACCATATATTAAACAAGAATAAAGGCAGTGAGAAAGGTTATTGATTGTAGATAAAATCAAATGTTGTATAAGAAAGGATTCATAGTTAGAATATTACTTGACATAATGGTGAACAATAGTCGCAAAAGTCACAATAATGTACTATTGAACAAGAGAGTGCTTTTTCTTCTTATAAGTCTTGAGGATTATTTTACTCTGAAAGCAATGTTTATACCTTACTCTGTAAATTATAAAACATACTCCCACAAGTATTTTGCAGGGGTTTATTTGAAAATGTGTAAGTAAACATGATAAAATTTCAGTTGGAAAAAACAAACTCCATAAGGACTTCCAGTTCTGGACAAGATGGAGAAGACACACTTTCCCCTTTTCATCCTGCTAGATATATCTAAAACTCCCTGGATCCAAAATCAAGATCTATAAAATAAACATCAATAAAAAATTAATAAATAGTACCTTATAAAAATTTAACTTTTTGTGAAAAACTGTTAGAAAGATTAAAAGGAGAGCTGCAAATGGGGAGAAAACATTTTAGAGTCACATTTCTGATAAAGAACTTATCAAAATATATAAAGAACTCTCAAACTCAACGGTTAAAAATCCCCAATGATCTAATTAGCAAGTGGGTAAAAGGCATGGAGAGACATTTAATCAAAAGCTACATGAATGGCAAATATGCATGTGAAAAGATGTTCAATATTGATAAGGCATTAAAAAATGCAAAAACGTGATGAGATAGCAGTACCCACCTTTCAGAAAAGCTAAAACCCTTTCGGCATGCCGTACAGTAGCAAGGATGTGGGGAAACTTATACACTGTTGTCATAATATATAGCGACAGGCCCATTCTGGAAAATGGTTTAGCAGTTTCCTAGAAACTGAGACTTCAGATTGCTATGCCTCAGCATTTAGACTGCCCTTCATTTATCCCAGAGAAATGAAAATTGATACCCATACAAATATCTGCACAGGAAGCTTCACCAGCGCTTTATTTGTAATAGCTCCAAACTAAAAGTAGCCCATATATGTATCCTCAGGGGCTGAGCGGTTAAACCAGCTGTGCACACCCAGACCGTGGCTATTCCTCAGCAATAAGAGGGAACGAACACATTCGCGCCGCAGCTGCGAGGCATCGCAAAGACGTGATGATGAGTGGGAAAAGTCACTCTCCAAAGATCACGCGCCGTATGATCTCATTTATGTGCGATTCCTCAAACAATGGGAAATTACAGAAAGAGGGACCAGGTTAGTGGCTGGCAGACGTTAGGGGCGGTGAGAGCGGGCATAAGCGTGGTGATGGAGCAGCGGCAGCACTGGGATCCTTGCTGGATGGGGTGGCTTTGTTGCTGGTTGTGGCGATAATTACAGGAATCTACACATGATAAAAAGCACAGAACCACACACACAGAGAGCGTGAGAATTCCCGGTGTTCTGCAGTTATGTAAGTCATAACCGTTGGGGCAAACTGGGTAAAGTTTGAAGGACCTTTCTGTACTATCTTTGTGAATTCTCATAATCTTAAGATTATTTCAAAATAAGAAAAAGAGAGAGACAAAAGATA